AGACACCTTTTGACGTAACCCTTAAAACATCCCCCTTCTTACTATCAGTCATTTTGAGGTAAAAAGGCGCTAATCCGGATAAGAAAGAATTCATTTTCCGGGATTTTAGTACAATACTTATAATAAACAGCTACAAAACCTTAACAACCCAAAAAATTGCTTTTTAATTTTTTAAAGATGCAAAATTTTAATTTCTGTTAAAAGGGCTAAAAACAACTTCTGGTAAACACATGGAAAAGGAAAGAAAATCATTCAACCGTTAAATACCTGATTTGGCAAAGTGAAAGATATCCTAACTTTTTTGGTACAAAGTTACTAGTATATCCCTATATAAATTTCACCCTAAAATTAGGTTGTCGCGTTTCAATTGATTACGAGTTTAATTAAAAACTGGAACTGTCCAAACGGGACAAACTAGAACTGTCCAATAGGGACAAATACCCCCCGCTGGGTTTTTTAGAGAAGGTGCCAATTCAAAAATACTTTATGGATCTAGAGATGTTCACAATTTACTTTAAAAAATTTGCAGTGAAATATAATTGCTCATCATGTTTCTTAATGAATGAAACAGAGGTGCAACCAAATGAAACATCAATACTAATACTGTAATACATTGTAATTCCATTGTAACATTTTTTTTTCATTTAATTTTTCTTCATTACTGCATTAAAAAAATATATTGCAATTATGTGTTATGTCACTCTGCAAACTGATTGTTGAAAAAAAAACCATTATACAAAATCAAATTAATCTTGATATATCAATTTGAAATGCATTTTGAAAATAAAGAACTGGTCATCCAGTAATGAAGGGGAGGTCAACATTACCGCTACATTGCCAAAAATTTCAACTCATTACCGCTACATTTTGTCAGATTTTCGACCGATCATTACCGCTACACTTTTCCGACAAAAAACAACTCATTACCGCTACATACTGAATCAGCCAAAAACAACTCATTACCGCTACATATCGATTTAACCAGGTATAGTTCAGTTTACACGAGTTCTAATCTACAGAATTCACTCATTATCTAATCAGAATGAGTACATATATAGAAATAACTCTGCAGTCGGAATTTATTTATATAGCGTCATCTGAACATTATGGCCACCATTGAGAAGTTTGTTACAAATCGAGGGAACGCCGGCTTTCTTATCGATTTTTTTTTTATAAATTTAGAAAAAAATAAGATTTTTAAAAACTCAAAATTGTGGAAATGCGTTTAAAAGAGTTGCAAAAGCAACTGCAAAACAGACTTCGACGAATAATTTGTTGATTTTAATTAAAAAAGATCAATCCTGTTCAAAGTCCTACTTTCACCTCCCCGTGGTGAGCAGGAGGAATGGGTCATATGCATGTACATGTATAGGTTGTACTGTACACGCATAAGTGACTGGCTAACGAAAGAGGCAATGTAGCGGTAATGTATACTTTTTTATGTAGCGGTAACGTAAGGTTTTTTGTAGCGGTAATGACTATGTAGCGGTAATGACAATTTTGAAAATGTAGCGGTAATGATACGCACCCCGGCAGACAATAAATTACAATTAAGAGAATAAGAGAAGAGAGATCTTTAATTCTTGTGCCTTATTCCCTGAAGATTTGATAACACACACACACTTGATAAGAGATATGCCTAAACAACTTCCAACACAAAACGCATTAATTTATCTTTAACTGGATGCATGTCCAGTCATTATTCCCAAGAGACAAATGAAATTACATTATCTTCTGTGCAATGTAAAAACTGTTTTTAACACTTGATGTTTCCTTTTTTTAAAAGTTTTTATGAGTAGTTTTAAGCTGTAGTTCACGTTTTTGTACAGATATTCTAGATTCTATGTCTCAAACCTTATACATGAGCCCAAAATGAACAAGTCAATTAAAATTTTAAAAAACCTTTAAAATGCAGAAAAATGAACAAAAAGAGTTGAAAATTCCAGGTGCACAACTTCATATGGTGAATAATAATTGTACAAATTTTCAGATTAATCCTTGCAATAGTTTCTGAGAAACGGTCCAAACAAAACCACAAAATAAAAATGAAAAAAACACCTGTAAAATTCAAAATAATAATCCAATCAAGATGAAAAATATCAGGTGCACAACTTCATATGGTGAATAACATGTGTACAAATTTTCAGACAAATCCTTCCAATAGTTTCTGAGTAATGGTCCGGACAAAGTCTCGTCTACAGACAGACGGACAGACGGACAGACAGACAGACGGACATGGTGATTCCAATATACCCCCCCTAAACTTCGTTTGCGGGGGGTATAAATACCCCCCGCTGGATTTTTCAGAAGTAAGTTTTTCCATAATAAAGATACGTATCACATATGAATTATGATTTTTTTTTCCAGTGACCTTGAAGTTCCCCAAATGACCTTGGGTCAAGGTCACAACACACCTTGGGTCATGGGCCATCTTTGCATGAAATAACAACCTACCAAGTTTATCAATAAGAAAGATATGGACAGGACATGAATTATGAACTTTTTCTTCCAGTGACCTTAAATTTCCCCAAATGACCTTGGGTCAAGATCATGACAAACCCTTAGGTCATGGGCAACCTTGTTGTGAAATGAGAACTACCAAATTTATCCATAAGGAAGATATGGACCGGACAAAAATTATTAACTTTTTCTTCCAGTGACCTTGAACTTCCCCAAATGATCTTGGGTCAAGGTCATGACACATCTTTGGGTCATGGGCCATCTGTGCATGAAATAAGAACCTACCAAGTTTATCCATAAAAAAGATGTAGACCAGAAATGAATAATCAATTTTTTTTTTCAGTGACCTTGAACTTCCCCAAATGACCTTGGGTCAAGGCCATGACACACCCATGGGTCATGGGCAATCTTTGTGCGAAATAAGAACCTACGAAGTTTATCCATAAGAAAGATATGGACCAGCCACGAATTGTGAACTTTTTCTTCCAGTGACCTTGAACTTCCCCCAAATGACCTTGGGTCAAAGTCATGACACACCCTTAGGTCATGGGCAATCTTTGTGTGGTGTAGTAGATTTTAGTATCCTTCCGTAAGAAAGATATGAACTGGACACGTTTGCACAGACAGACGGACGGAGAGCTATACAGTTGAGAGGTACATTGTGCATTTTACGGAAGGTGTGGGGTTATCATCTTACTTTGTGGGGTTATTAATAGTACAGTGGTGACGTGAGAGCTTTCATTAGGAATTCAAACAAATGGTATATTGTGGGGTTAAGGTCTATATTTGAGGGGTTAAAGATCTATATTTGTGGGGTTAAAGATCCTTCTTTGTGGGTTTAAAAATTAATTATTTAATATCAAATCAACTTTACAGACAACTAATTATAAGTACTTAAAATTGTTACTGTTTATTTGATGAGCTTAGAACGGATATAGAAATAACATTTGTCAACTACTGAATAGCAGTAACAATGCAAAAAAATGTTTTAATTTGAGGATTAATGTTGCATCAAAGTAAATTAACCCATCATGTTTTCACATGAAGATGATAGACAAGAATTTTCCAGAAAGTGTTAAACAAACAATCCCACTATGCTATATAGATATAACAGACAACACTAACCCCATAAATTATAAGACAAACAACCCCAGTGTGTACTCTTATAAAGATAATAGACAACATTAACCCCATTAAGCGTTTGGACAGCAACCCCACTATGTACTCTCATAAAGATAATAGACAACACTAACCCCATAAAGTGTTTGAACAGCAACCCCACTATGTACACTCATAAGGATAAAAGAAAACACTAACCCCATAAAGTGTTTGGACAGCAACCCCACTACGTACTCTCATAAAGATAATGGACAACACTAATCCCATAACGTGTTTGGACAGCAACCCCACTATGTACTCTCATAAAGATAATAGACAACACTAACCCCATAAAGTGTTTGAACAGCAACCCCACTATGTACTCTCATAAAGATAATGGACAACACTTACCCCATAACGTGTTTGGACAGCAACCCCACCATGTACTCTCATAAAGATAGTAGACAACACTAACCCCATTAAGAGTTTGGACAGCAACCCCACTATGTACTCTCATAAAGATGATAGACAACACTAACCCAATAAAGTGTTTGGACAGCAACTCCAATATGTACTCTCATAAAGATACAATGTAATAGACAACACAAACCCCATACAATATAACGTGTTTGGTCAGCAATCCCACTATGTACTGTTATAAAGATAATAGACAACACTAACCCAATAAAGTGTCTGGACAGCAACCCCATTATGTACTCTCATAAAGATAATAGACAACACTAACCCCATAAAGTGTTTTGACAGCAACCCCACTATGTACTCTCATAAAGATAACAATGTTAACCCCATAAAGTGTTTGGACAGCAACCCCACCATGTACTCTCATAAAGATAATAGGCAACACTAACCCCATAAAGCGTTAGGACAACAACCCCACTATGTACTCTCATAAAGATAATAGACAACACTTACCCATAACGTGTTACAACCCCATTATGTTCTTACATAGATGAAAGATAACATTAACCCCACAAAGTGTTAGAGAAGAACCACAATATGTTTTGATAGAAAATATCAGACATATTAGTTACCTCAGAGTGTTAAACAAACAACCCCGCTGTGTTCTCATGGAACAGATACCAGTAACCATATGAATTTAAGTGTTTGAAAACCCAAGTATGTTCTAATATCAAAAAAAACTCTACCAGGGACTGGTAATAAAAGAACAAGTACACCCCCACTATGTTCAATAGCAACTTATCGAGATTTTCTGACTAGCTGACAAACGACCTCGAATGTATTAGTTAGACGCCATGGCAACAACCCCCCTTTTCATGATCTTCGAAATAAATGCATGAAGACCTTTTATCTGTGGAATATGGAGTTTAACTTTATTCAATGCTATGATATTACATAAAATATACTATAAAAGGGACTTCTGACTTCCTCTATCCTATATTTGAAAAAAAGAAAAGCATAACCTTTAACATCAGGTGATGTTAATACATTCAAGGTTGTTTTTCCGAACTCTGGCGGAAAGACCCTGAGTGAGATGATGCGATTGCCAGTACGTCATATCCTTTTTTTCTATTAAAAATACCAAACAATACTCGTAATACTTTTTCCTATTTTGATAACATACTCGAAAATTTGTTTTAATTATTTTTCAAACTATTTTTAATTGAATAATCTCTTTATCTTAACTGCTTATTTCTAATGAAAATTTTTCCTTTGAATCTGCTGAGGCATGAATTTGAAGTGTACATTATGCAGCAAAAGCATATATAATTTCATTGTAAATTAATAATAATAAATAAAAGAAATGATCCTGATTTAAAAAAAAAAAATAATCAAACTTTTGAGTTACTCGACAAGTTGAACACAGATAAGAAACATGTTATTATATTATTTTTTTCTTATTTTTACATATGGTAAAGTTGTCTCATAAGGATACGAAATAATAGAAGAAAAAAATTATACAAAAAAAATAGAGCTGTCCAAACGGGGCAAAATAGCCCCAGCTGGGATTTTCAGAGGTGCTAAATCATAAATACTTTATGGATTTAAGAGAAGACAGATGTGCTAAAACATTTTTATTGCAAATGTACTTGGTCATTATATTTTTAATAAATAAAACGAAGGCACAGACTCATAAAAAAAAGAGGCCCATGGGCCTTGTAAGTCACCTTAGCATCATGAAACAATTTTCCAATGATTGAATTTGGTTAATGTTTTAAACTAGAGATTATGGCATTCACAATTTTGAAAGAAGCACCATTGCTATTCATAACTAAATGTATACACATTGCATTTTTAGTTTGGTTACTTTATACTCATAGACAGAGTAGGAGAACAAAAAATGCATTTTGACTTATTAGTAATATTCAGCAATAATCAGTAGTGCCAATACCACACATGAACCCCTGAACCTTGGTCCAAACATTTCACAATTTTGAAAAAGGCACCTTTGCTCATCAAAAAATGTTTGATTACCAAGGAGAAGATTTTAATCAATTCATTTTCAGTATATACGAAGGGCACCCTCTCTATGGTACCCCTAACCCAGGGGCCTAGAAATTCACAACTCAGGAAGACCATGCTCATCATAGCTATCTAGGTAGTTCATCTGCTCAATACCCAGGAACGGAGAAGAAAATTTTCAAAAGTTTTAATGTAATTACACTTTATAATCAATAGAACCCGCCCTAACACCAGAACCCCGCAGCAGGGGACCACAAATTCACAATTTTGGAAGAGTCATTCTTCCTCGATATAACTATATTCTTAGTAAGTTTATTCAATATCCAGAAACAGTGAGGAAAATTTTTTAAAGAATTAATATATTCCACCATATAATCAATAACACCCCGCCCTGACACCAGAACCTCTGAACCTGGGGACATACAATTCACAATTTTGGGAGAGGCATTCTTGCTCATCAAAACTATAAACTTAGTTTTATATAATACCCAGGATCAGAGAAGAAGATTTTCAAAGAAATAATGTATTTTCACTATATAATCAAAGAGTCCCACTCTAACACCAGAACCCCTAATCCTGGGGCCATAAAATTCACATTATTGGGAGAGGCATTCTTGCTCATCAATAACTACATCTATTTACTTAGTTGCTTTATTAAATATCCGGGAGAAGAGAAGATTTTCACAGAATTATTGTATTTTCACTATATAATCAATCGAGCCCCACCAAACATCAGCATAAAATTCACAATTTCGGGAAAGGCATTCTTGCTCATCATAATTATGTTCTTAATTAGTTTGTTTAATACCCGGGAGCAGAGAAGAAGATTTTCAAAGAATTAATGTATTTACACTATATAATCAAAAGAGTCCCGCCCTAACACCAGAACCTCTAACCCTGGGACCATAAAATTTATAATTTTGGAAGAGGCATTCTTGATTATCATAACAATATACTTTGTAAGTTTGTTAAATATCCAGGAGCAGAGAAGTGTATACAGTGGACCTTCAGATATCTGGACGCCAGATATCCGGATGCTTCAGTATCCGGACGATTTTTTATTGGAACAAAATTTTTAAATGCTATTTTGTCTTGTTTAAGTGGTGATTCAGATATCCCGATGCTTCACATATCCGGACAAATGGACTGGGAACCAAAGTGACCGGATAAATGAGGGTCCACTCTACTTAGTTAGTTTGTTAAATATCCAGGAGCAGAGAAGATTTTCATAGAATTAATGTATTTTCCCTATATGTATAACCAAAAGAGCCCTGCCCTAACACCAGAACCTTGACTTACCTTTACTGTTATCACTACAGGATATTGCCAACAAAATCTTGACTTACCTTTACTGTTATTACTACAGGACATTGTCATCAAAATCTTGACTTACCTTCACTGTTATTAATATAGGACATTGTCACCAAAATCTTGACTTACCTTTACCGTTATTATAACATGACAATGTAAACAAAATCTTGACTTACCTTTACTGTTATTATAACATGACAATGTAAACAAAATCTTGACTTACCTTTACTGTTATTACTAAAAATCTTGACTTACCTTTACTGTTATTACTACAGGACATTGTCACCAAAATCTTGACTTACCTCTACTGTTATTATTACAGGACTTTGTCACCAAAATCTTGATTTACCTTTACTATTATTACTACAGGATACTGTCACCAAAATCTTGACTTACCTTTACTGTTAATACTACAAGACATTGTCACCAAAATCTTGACTTACATTTACTGTTATTACTACAGGACATTGTCAACAAAATCTTGACTTACCTTTACTTTTATTACTACAGGATATTGTCAACAGAATATTGACTTACCTTTACTGTTACTTTGTGCTGATGACCTTCTCCCTCAGGGTCAGGAATTTCAAAGGTCAACTTCTTTTCTACAATAAAACAAGAGGCCCAAGGGACTTGAATCACTCTTCTGATAAATTGTACAATCTATCACTTCTACTTGAAGCCTCTTACTCTAAGTATCCTAAGATGCATGAACTGACAAAGTTTAATGATTCTTTGCCAGTTAATACTGAAGATATTTCACTATAGCTATTAAATACCATAAGTAGGACATGGTGACCTACTATTTGATACTGATTGATAATTAAATGTAGGTCACTGTGATTTCCTTTTTGGTCGACATTCTCCAAAAACACAAGATGCCTCAACTGACATTAAGCCAAATAGGACCTAAGATTAGTGTTGTAAAATCGGACATATTTTACTATCGATTATCAAATTGAATCAGAAGAACACAATCGATTATATAATCGATAATTTGAACTATTAAAAAGGTTAAATTTATTCATTAAGCACAAGTAGAATTCCATGACATTTGACCGCGAACTTTAACTTATCTTTATTGGCAATGCACAATTTACAAATAACCGAGTCCATCTGCATGTATATTATTTTTGCATGGAGGCCCATCGCCCTTTTTCAGAAAGCCAAAATATTTCAAACTTTAGATCGTGTTGCACCAGGATATTGATATTATTAGGCGTCATCACCATGCACGTTCTCCATTTTGTTTACCGACGATTAGAGTGACGTCCCTTTGGTGAATATAAAAGTTAAACCTGATAGGCTTAAAAAAATACGGCATGAAAAATGTAGCGATCTATCGATGATAATATTTACAATCGATTGTTGCCGATCTGGGCCTTTAAACGACCATTTTTCGATAGTCAGTGACTATCGTAACAACACTACCTAAGATATAACCTTGACATGTCTAAACTACGGTTGGTCACGGCTACTTTTTGGTCAACATTCTCCTAAAAACCAAGTTGCATCAAATGACAAAGTTTTAATAATTCTAAGCCAAAAAGTACCTAAGATACTTAAATATAACCATAAAATGTCAAAAGTAGGTCACCATGCTTTTTGGTCAACATTTTCAGAGGGCCTAAGATGCATCATCTGACAATGTTTCATGATTCTAAGCCAATAAGTACCTGAGATAATCAAAAGTAGGTCATTGTGACCTACTTTTTGGTCGACATTTTCCGAAAACCCAAGATGCCTCAACTGACAACGTTTGACAATTCTAGGCCAATTAGTACCAAGGATACTTATGTATAGCCATAAAATTCTTTTGGTCGACATGTTCCAAAAACCAAAGATGCATCAACTGACAAAGTTTGATGATTCTAAGCCAAAAAGTACCTGAGATACTGAAATATAGCCATAAAATGTCAAAACTAGGTCACAGTGACTTACTTTTTGGTCGACAATCTCCGAAAAACCCAAGTTGTATCAACTGACAAATTTTGATGATTATAAGCCAAAAAGTACCCAAGATACATAAATATAGCCAAAAAAATGTCAAAAGTAGGTCACCATGACCTACTTTTTGGTTGACTTTTTATGAAGACCCAAGATGCATCAACTGACAAAGTTTGATGATCATAGGTCTGATAGTATTCAAATTATGCCTTTTAAAGTAGGTCTATACTCGCAATACGTCATTTACGAATAGTAAAACCGGAACCGCGCGTCCTTTTTCCGAGATGAGAGTTTTTAACTATATTGGTTTGACTTTTACTTAGCGTTTTAAATATCCGGTAACGATTTTGCTCGAAGTCGGTCGCGTCAACAAACACATATTGTACAGTTTAAGGATAAATTAATTAAAAAGAAAAGGCTGGGAACAACTTTCGGTTGACAGAAATAATTAGGTAATAAAACGATATTTCTGTGAATGATGCATGTTTGATATGCCGCGTCGAAAACACGGACCATATACATGCTACATCAGAACATGACTGTATCAAACTATCGAGGCGACTATTGTCGGCGGCCAAGTTGAAGCTAATAGTGATAATTCGGAAGAAAAGTAATGACTACGATTTGACTTAGAAAATTTATGAATTTTACTAATCAAACATTACAAAATTTACTTTAAATAATAATAATTGCATAAAACACATACCCCCCTCCCCCAACCTGCTTACCCACGAACCCCAATGCAAAATTATCTTTTGAATAAGTATTTGACAAAAGTTGATTCACTTGCAGCATACTTTGTTACTTTCTGTAACAAAATCATCCAGTTTCTGAGAATCAGTGAATTACTTTAATTTTCATCGTCTCCAATTTAAAGACAAGTGTGTTTTATTTTTTTTTTTTTCGAGTAAAATAAGATAAATTTTAGGGGCAATAGGTTTTGGGTGTGTATAATTATTGTTTTAAATAATGTAAAAGCTTGTTAATACAAGTATACACTCAAACATTAACAGTATTACAGAAATATGTGGCAATACATTACTTCTGGAAGAAAGAAAATAGGGGGGTACCTTTAGTGTAGAGCTCATACCACGAAAAGTAATGCGTCAACATATAATTTTTTTAAGCTTATTATTTTTCTTAAATATAATTTAGTAAAAATAATGCAAATTTACGAAGTTTGAGTCCATAATTTTTTTTAAATGACCGAGATTGTCCTGGGAAGCATATTTTCTCACATTAAATTTTGATACAATAGCCTAACAAAGTGCATCTATTTATAATAATTCATGCAAAACAATGATATTTTATTGTTTAATAACATGTTTCTACTCTATTTTGGGTATTAAAGTTGAATATTTAGACTTAAATTAATTTATAAACAACAAAATCTAGGATAGGTAGAATATCAGTATTTTACATTTCGGGGTATATACTCCGATAGGCTATAGCGGAAAAGTGAACATGTTGACATATAATTTTTCTTGTGTCTATCCATTGCTGGGATGTATGTCTATCTTATAAAAGCAGATTTTTAAAGATTGAGCCCATTTAGTGCCGAGTATAGAACTATCTTAAACAATTTGAAAATAAATTATTTTAGGGTCCCAACCCTAGTTTTAGTATAAATGGTAGCCCTTGGACCAAGGACACCCTGTAACAAATTTGACAATGATTGGCCTTTGGCTCAGAAGAGCTAAAAAATTTAATCCTAAGAATGCAAGAATGACAGATAAGTACAGAAGATGAATAAAAAATACCTCGCATTGTGATTCGGTCGCATTGACCTCTGACAATGAAATTCATACAGAACTGAACATATATCTTAGAAGAACCTATTGAAGATAAAATATACTTTATCTTCAACAGGTTAATCTAAGAAAGATGTTTGCAAATTATGTAACTATTTACAATTAGAATGTTTGCTATTTATATGTATCTATATATGTATATATATACCAATAGATTCTTCTTCCCGATCTGATTCTTGATCTCTGGTGCTGGATATAGGTGTCTCCACCTCAAACTCTGACATGGTCTGTTCAATTATTGCTCAAACTCCTGAAAAGGATTAATTTTTTAAAGAATTAATTATTGTCTCTCGCTTTTGCGAAAGCGAGGGGACATTAAATCTCATTCATCTCTCCTTCTGTCTGTCTGTCTGTCTGTCACAAAAACTTAAACCTTGCCCATAACTTTTGCTGAAGTGAAGCTTTAATTGACTTTCAAATTTAACATGTATATACCTTGTGACATGAGCTCTCTTTGGGTACCAAAAACAAATGACCAAATTTTACCTTTCCACCTTGGAGTTTGACCAATATTACACAAAAATTATTCGAAGATGAAAAATTCCAAACTTTACTTTGTCCACAACTTTTGAATGGTAGATACTAGGACTTTCATAATTTACATACATTTTCATTTGACTAATAAAATTTGAAGCTAATTAGTCTGAACGGACGAATAAAGTTTTCTGGGGGGGAAAAAAGGAATTTTAGTCTGAACAGACGAATAAAGTTTTCTGGGGGAAAAAAGGAATTTACCAATGTTCACATTCTCGATAATTTTCAAACTCCTATTTATTTTTAGCTTTCTAGCTTCTTGGCGGGCAGTTAAGTAATTTTGAGTCAATTTGGTGCTAAATTTTATGATTCATTTCTAAGACATTAAACATTTTAGCGACCATGATTTAGTATGACACATAAAAAAGATGTCGGATGTTTTAATGTAATCATGTATAGAGAAAAATCATTGTTTTCAGATGACTTCAAAGTTGAAAATGATCACTGCATCAAAATGAGATTTTCTGCACATCCTGAGAAAAATGCTTTTCTTATAGAAATAAATTGGTTTAGTAGCTAAATAAAACTACCTCAGGTAGGTAAATAAAGCTACGTAGCTAAATCTTATGATTGTACAAGACCTGCTTATGTAAATTAAAATAATGAGAAATAAATGGCATTCATACAATGGATAAAACAAAAAAAACTAATGCAAAGTAAAATTTCCTATCTACAACATGTACAACAAGGGCACCGCTAAGCGGAGCATCCCCTCGCGTCAGGAACATCACTGGTTATGGGCAATATCTCATGAGAGATAAATTCTTTAGAGGGACGTTAAACATGTTGAAGATTGGTCTAGTACAACATATTTTGTTCAATGTCCCTCTCAGGATTTATTTTTGCTCATATGAAGGATTGTCAGTGGAGAGCTGCACATTTTTTCCCTATATCAGGAACTGAGCCATTGAGTAGTGAAGGATCATTTTGTACCAGCATCTATTAGGACATTGACCCTTGGTTCATACGGTCTTATTCGAAGGACCAGTCTCCACGTCCCACAGTGGGATTCGAACCCACAATGTTAGGATCCACTCCCTTACTTTAGAGAAAATTATTAGGGGTGGGTGGGTGGGTGGGGGTGGGGTATGTTGTTGATCCATTTTTTTTCAAAATGCAAAGCGTCTTGGTTAGGGGGCATAACATGGATACCTAATTTGGAGTAGTAAAGTTTAATATCAGATGAAGAAAATGAAATGTTTTCAGCACTTTTTATTTATTTAACAAAATTATAGGGGATAGGGAAGTGTCTATTTTTAACAAAAATCAAATTGCGTAGCTAAATGGAGTGGGGGGGGGGGGGGCAAAACATGCGTACGTAATTGGGCATTTTCCCTTATACCTAGCAGAAACATATCATGTATACTACATGTACATGTATGTATAAGTTTCAGTAATTTACCTACCTAAGTATATCTCACAGTTCCAGGCAATATGCATTTTTTCGTAATGAAATATAACAATGACATATAACATCGAGAGGTCATTTGAACTTGTGGAATGTATTTACAGCTTTCAAGAATAACGTGCACCCCAAATTCCCAGACACCTGTTGAATTTCGTATTGAAACCGCGACGTCAAATTATCTTAATATTAAGTAATATTACGGAAGTGGTATTTGTCAAGTCGTACATAAAACTTTAGTTCAGTGAAGCAGTAAAAACGCTATATTTCAAGAAATATTACATCGATTAATTTGAAAATGAATAGGCTTCGTCCCTTTATAATGCCACACAAGTATGTAAAGGCTTAGAGAGGTTAATGCATAGGTTCTCTGCAAATCTTGCCCACAAGCTGTAACTAACATACTAACACACACACACACACACATACGCACATTCGCGATGCTATATCCCCTCCGCAACTAGTTGCGCGAGGGGATAATAAGGCTATTCTGCCCTGATTTTATGCCAATGTGACGTAGTTTGGAAGGATGATCCCAGAAATTAGGCATTCACAGGGTTCGAAATTAACTTTTTTTTAGCACTAGTCCGCACGGACTTGTGACTTCTAGCTTCCACTAGTCCGCAAACTATTCTACTAGTCCGCCCTATAGTATGTAAAAAGAATAACACAAATCTTAAAATTTTATCAGTTATTCAATGAAATATATGTCCACACATAAGTTGGAATGCATGTGGTGAAAAAAAGAGGGTTTTCAACTTTCTGAAATCTCCTCAAGGTCACATCTTTGTCTATTGATCACGATGTAGAAAACACTTTATCATGGTTGCGTTTCTAATTTATTTTTTTTCAAACGTGTAAGAGACTCGGAAATAAAATTAATCAAATGTGAACAGACTTAAGACTAGTCCAACACAATTTTTACATCTTTTACTAGTCCGGACTTACGGACATGAGTTAATTTCAAACCCTGATTCATTGCGTCTATAGACCCTTTTCCTGTGACATATTTTACCTAGGAGTTATTCCCCTTAGCCGCCATCTTGTTGGGCAAAGTAGTGAATTTACTTCTTTAAGCAACTAATTTTTTAAAAACATGCATGCAAGAAATACATGGGGGTAAATATTCACAATCTTAGAATCATGAATTAATAGAGCCTTTAACAAATGTATATTCATAAAAAATATTTATCTTTACCTCAGTAACCAATAACAATTTGAACTTGGTTGAGTAATGAAGAGATATTGGAATGTGGTCCTACAAATATGGCGGCTAGGGAGAATAACTCCTAGATAAAATATGTCACAGGGAAAGGGTCTACAGACGCTTTCCTGTACTTTCAGTACTTTGATTTTCTCATGGCTCTTTCGACAACTGAAAGAATCTTGCTATGAATGTTTAGACAGATTTGTCTAAACGATAATCAGGTTAACTGATTTAAAATTACCTTATATTTGTACTGGAGCTGAAACCAGCTCCTGGTAATATCACACCAAACTCCACAAGCAGTGACTGCCTCCGACTTTTTTCAAAATTTTTGTGTAAATAAAACGAAATGTCGATCCCGATCCTAACGATCAGAGTGAAACAAAGGGGATTAAATGAATGAGCGATAAAAAATAAAATAAATATTAATAAATCATGCATAAATAAAAAATAAAATAAAATAAATTAATAAATGTTTATATTTTTACTCCCTCATTTATTCGTTCACTCATTTATTTCTTATTATACATCATGCTATGCCTATGGTAGCATTAAAGTCCCTGTCGTCCCCTGTCCTTGTCCCTGCCTTTACTGACTTGCCCCTGTCGTCTCCTGACATTTATTTTGGCCAAGAAAAGGAGTTCAAAATATATTCTTGTTGCATTTTATGTTAACCCCCCAACATCTACCTGATTCAAGATCAATAATTTAATTACCGCCTGTCAATCATTAAAAAAACAATAGCTTCTGATTTGATTGACAGATCAGCTACCTGTGCTACTTGATAATTTGAATTTGCAAGTTTTGAAGACAATTGCCTTGTCGAACGCCAAACTCTTTCATGTACCCGCCTTGTATACACGTGGGTTAGAAAACTCCAAACGTTTGAATTTTATTTAAAAAATAATTGAAAGTACGTATATTATTAAGACACTCAACCAGAAAATGTAGGTCAGATTCAGCATCCCAAGCAAGCCTGGTAGTGTGCATCCTTAGATGTACCATCCATACAAGTTTGGTAAACATAGGGCTTAAAGTTACTTGCAAATGATACCTGCACCAAAAACATTAACTTGTTCGCTCAACTGGAAAATGTAGGTCAGATTCAGCATCCCAAGCAAGCCGGGTAGTATGCATCCTTAAATGTATCATCCATGCAAGTTTGGTCAACATAGGGCTTATAGTTACTTGGAAATGAAACCTGCACCAAAAACTTTAACCTGTTCACTCAACCGGAAAATGTAGGTCAGATTCAGCATCCGAAGCAAGCCCGGTAGTATGCATCCTTAGATGTATCATCCATGCAAGTTTGGTCAACATAGGGCTTATAGTTACTTGAGAGTTTTCATCTCTTGATGCAGCATTTGTGCAAGTTTGGTTTATACAATGTTATATAAGCCTTATATTTTTTGGTAATAGACCTGCAACCATACCTTTTACCTTGTCTGAATTTACATTATCTGAAAAATGTATGTCAGCATCCGAAACAAGTCCATTAGTGTGCATCCTTAGATGTATCATCCATGCAAGTTTGCTCATTATAGGGCTCATAATTTATTGGAAATGAAACATGCATCAAAAAACTAACATTTTCACTCATCCACAAAAAGAAGGTCAGATTCAGCATCCGAAGCAAGCCTGGTAGAAATTGCATCCTTAGATATATCATCTATGCAAGGTTGGTCATTAAAGAACTCATAGTTCCTTGGAAATGAAGCCTGCGCCAAAAACTTTTACCTGTTCACTCAACCAGAAAATGTAGGTCAGATTCAGCATCCCAAGCAAGCCTGGTAGTGTGCATCCTTAGATGTATCATCCATACAAGTTTGGTAAACATAGGGCTTAAAGTTACTTGCAAATGATACCTGCACCAAAAACATTAACTTGTTCGCTCAACTGGAAAATGTAGGTCAGATTCAGCATCCCAAGCAAGCCGGGTAGTATGCATCCTTAAATGTATCATCCATGCAAGTTTGGTCAACATAGGGCTTATAGTTACTTGGAAATGAAACCTGCACCAAAAACTTTAACCTGTTCACTCAACCGGAAAATGTAGGTCAGATTCAGCATCCGAAGCAAGCCTGGTAGTATGCATCCTTAGATGTATCATCCATGCAAGTTTGGTCAACATAGGGCTTATAGTTACTTGGAAATGAAACCTGCACCAAAAACTTTAACCTGTTTACTCAACCGGACAATGTAGGTCAGATTCAGCATCCCAAGCAAGCCCGGTAGTATGCATCCTTAGATGTATCATCCATGCAAGTTTTTTCAACATAGGGCTCATAGTTACTTGGAAATGAAATCTACACCAAAATCTGCACCAAAAATGTTAACCTGCTCCAAAAACATTAACCTGGTCATTCCTTTGCTGAAATTGCAGCATCTGAAACTTTGTCTGGTACAATGAAACACACTTAAACCATCTTCCATGCATGTCTAATCAATATAGGACACAGAAGTAATTAAAAAGAAAACTGCTCCAAAAAACTTAACCTTAACCTGGAACGCCGACGCCGACACAGACACCGACGCTGACGCCGACGCCGAGGGTATCACATAAGCTCCCCCCAACTTCGCTGAGGTGAGCTAAAAAAAACTCAGAGTGCATACTTATATACTTGTACATTGAAATGCAGTATAACACAGGTATTTATTTATTTACAAAACAAACTATGAGATGAGTCATCTAATGACTATTCAAATGTCTTTTCTCACTTATCGTTTTTTTTCTTTCATTCATATGACGTTAAAGAGGCATGGTATCCGTATCAGTATGCTACGTGATGTACTAACACCCTCACACATGTCAAATTTGAAGTCCCTTCAAACTGACAATTCACAGTTATCCAACATACATGTTTACGTGACATTTATAAGAGGTACCTCCAACATATGCGCCATTTATCCTGCAACCCTCCAGACCTATTTATCCAAAGTCCCTCTTTCATGTGTCCTATTTATCAAAAGTCCATCTTTAATATGTCCTATTTATCCAAGGTCCCTCTTTCATGTGTCCTATTTATCCAAGGTCCCTCTTCATGTGTCCTATTTACCCAAAGTCCCTCTTTCATATGTCCTATTTATCCAAAGTCTTTCTTTCATTTGTCCTATTATTCAAAGTCCCTCTTTCATATGTCCTATTTATCCGAAGTCCCTCTTTCATGTGTCCTATTATCCAACGTTCCTCTTTCATATGCCCCATTTATCCAAAGTCCCTCTTTCATGTGTCCTATTTATCCAAGGTCCCTCTTTTATATGTCCTATTTATACAAAGTCCCTCTTTCATATGTCCTATTTATCCTATGTCCCTCTTTCATGTGTCCTATTTATCCAAAGTCTCTCTTTCATATGTCATATTTATCCAAAGTCCCTCTTTCATGTGTCCTATTTATCCAAGGTCCCTCTTTCATGTGTCCTATTTATCCAAAATCCCTTTTCATGTGTTCTATTTATCCAAGGTCCCTCTTTCATGTGGCCCATTTATACAAAGTCCCTCTTTCATGTGTCCTATTTATCCAAAGTCCCTCTTTCTTATGTCATATTTATTCAAAGTCCCTCTTTCATGTGTCCTATTTACCCAAGGTCCCTCTTTCATGTGTCCTATTTATGGAAAGTCCCTCTTTCATGTCTCCTATTTATCCAAGTTCCATCTTTCATGTGTCCTATTTATCCAAAGTCCCTCTTGCATGCGTCCTATTTATCCAAAGTCCCTCTTTCATGTGTCCTATTTATCCAAGGTCCCTCTTTCATGTGTCCTATTTATCCAATGTCTCTCTTTCATGTGTCCTATTTATCCAAAGTCCCTCTTTCATATGTTATATTTATCCAAAGTTCCCTCTCATCTATATCACATCTATTCAAAATCATTCATTTATTCAAAGGTTCCTCTCACATTTATCCATACTCCCTCTTTAATATACATGTCACATTTACCAAGACTCTCTCCGTCATATGTCACATTTATCCCAATTACTTCCAAATATGTAACATTTATTCAAAGTCCCTTTAATCATATCAATAAGGTTTTTTACCTGTATGTGTGCTCATGTGACTCGTTAAATACTGTGACTGGCTGAATGTCTTTCAACACACATCACATTTATAAGGTTTTTCACCTGTATGTGTCCTCATGTGTCTCTTTAAGATACTTGACTGGTTGAATGCTCTCCCACACATATCACATTTATAAGGTTTATCACCTGTATGTATATTAATATGTATCTGTAAGCTATATAATCTGTTGAAATCTTTCCCACATACATCACATTTAAAAGGTTTTTCACCTGTATGTGTCATCATGTGCCTCTGTAAGTTTTCTGAGAGGGAGAATGCCTTTCCACACACATCACATTTATGAGGTTTATCACCTGTATGTGTCCTTAGGTGTGTCTGTAAGCTATGTAATCTATTGAATGCTTTCCCACACACATCACATTTATAAGGTTTATCACCTGTATGTGTCCTTAGGTGTGTCTGTAATCTATGTAATCTATTGAATGCTTTCCCACACACATCACATTTATGAGGTTTATCACCTGTATGTATCCTTATGTGTCTCTGTAAGATTTGTAAGAGGTTGAATGCCTTCCCACACACATCACATATATAAAGTTTATCACCTGTATGTGTCATTATGTGCCTCTGTAAGATACTTGACTGAGTGAATGCTTTTCCACACACATCACATTTATAAGGTTGATCACCTGTATGTGTCCTCATGTGATTCTGTAGGTGATGTGACAGTTTATATGCCTTCCCACAAACATCACATTTATAAGGTTTTTCACCAGTATGTGTCCTCCTGTGACTCTTTATATACTGTGAATGGCTGAATGCCTTTCCACATACATCGCATTTATAAGGTTTATCACCTGTGTGTATTTTCATGTGATCCTTTAAGTGATGTAACTGTTTGAATGCCTTTCCACAAACATCACATTTATAAGTAGCATCCAAAAGTCATGTCACGTCATTACGTAACGCTATGTGACTCTTAGCAAAACAATGTTTTTTCAAACCCCAAATTTTACTGTTTTTCCACTCTCAATGATTATTTCAAGAATAAAGATATGAAAAAAATTATTAAACTTTGTTAAATATTTTTTATTATGTTTATTAACCTCTCTGATAAATATATTTACATCAAATGAAAAATGCGTTTGACTGCAAAACTTACACCTGAAATATAGTAGGTATTAATTGTCGCGCTTTCTCATTCCGCTATTTCCAGGACAACAAAGGTGCGTGAGAATTTTCTTTTTTAAAAACAGACGTTGGAGAATTTACAGAACAAAATGATACCAAATAACTCATTACAGATGCAGATTTTATCATGATAGAAGACTGCATAAAGTAAGTAGTTTTTAGACAAAATTTTCACCCTTTTATAGAACAGGTTGCATATGTGTAACAACATTAGATCGATTCAGAATTTAATTCTCTTCAAATTAATATGCATGGTATCTTAATAAACCCCAGCGCTAAGGAGCGCTTTTAGAATAACCCCACACATGTTTTAAAATTCAATATTTACATTTGCAAATGTTTTCCTTTACATAACACTACCGAAGGCAAGCGTTTTTATAACTGTGTAAATACAGGTTTGGGGTCAAGAGGTCATAGATGTGCGTTTGGATAAACGTTCCACGTAATTTCTCTGTGACGTCATAAAGGGTCGACGCACGTTTAGTAGATTACATACATGCCGTTGGGTTTGAAAATTAACGCATTTCACACGTCAAAAGTAACAATCAGGCAAATATAAAGTATGAATAAGTCACAAATGTAAATATAAGTAATAAGGTATCATTTTTTGAGTTTTATTGAGATGTAAAACGGGTTGACACATGATCAAATCTTCCATAAAGCCCTTCGGGCTTTATGGGATTTGATCACGTGACCAACCCGTTTTACATCTCAATAAAACTCAAAAAATGATACCTTATTTCTTAATTAAAGAAATGACGCCGTCAACGAAGCTGACGAAATCGCTAGCTTGGGCTACTGTGTTTGTTTACAGTATCCAAGGATATCTTACGGGGAACAACTCTTCATAGCTTCAATATGGGGTGCCCCATGGGGAATTTTTTTTTGTTATGAAATAATGCCTTATTAAATTCTTTTAACTGATATTGTCGCCCCTTCAGTGATTTTGTTTAAAGCAAATACAATAATAGCGTGTATTACCAGAAGTTATTTTTTTTTTTTTTTTTTTTTGACATAGGAATTTAAAAAAATAAAATGCTTCAATGAATTTAAAAAAAAAATATTTTAAAACCGAAAGAAAAAATAATTTGATTCATAAATTCAACAAAAAGCAAGATGATAAAAAAAAACCCAAATGGTACGTGGTTTGATTATATGAATTAGTAAAATAAGACTGACTTATGCATTATTGAAAAAAGAGAGTTAACAGGTAAAATTTACACATGTTCAAATAAATAAAAAATACGCAGATAAATGAAATATTTAATATTTCAGATTTCAAGTAGGCTATAATGCCAATAAAAATTAAGGTACAATGTACTCATGGAAGTGGAACTTTTCAAAAAGGAAAAAACTCACCATTTATAAATTATGAAA